ATACTCCGTAATAGATTTAGATATGCATGCAAGAATTATGTGATTTGATATTGTAGTTGGTATTGGTCCACCTCACTGGGTCATCCCTGAGTTGCCTTTGGTCCACCTCATTTAAGGAGTTGGTCTCCTATTTATTGCCCGGGCCCAAATTGGGCTGTCTACCCGACCAAGCCCACTCCCCCTATTTGTATTCTACCCAGCCCGTTACTTTTGTGGCCCTTTGATATATTTGTCCGGTTCTTCTGGAACCTCCTATTTCATTCGCTCCTCCTTCTCTCTATCCGATGAAGCTCTTGTTCTGTTACCCTAGACTTAGAGTGAGAGAGTACCGGTTTCTTCTGAGCTTTAGCTCCGGCTATGCTCCGGTGAGACCTTGGGGTTCCTATTGGGGTCTTCACTCTAGTCTGGTAGTGTGGTGGGTTGTTTACTCCTCCGGTGGGGCTTCTGGGCTGGGGTCTGGGTTCTGAGTGTGAGGGTCGTTGGCTGTCGCCTTTCGTCTTCCCTGGTTGTAACCCTGGTGGTGAGTGTGAGCAAGCCTTTGGGCTTTTGGTGATTGAGGTCTGAGCCGCTCCGGATTCCTAACAGTGGTATCAGAGCCTGGACGTTGCTGCCTCTCTCTGACGCCGGAAGCTCACCGGAGAACTCCCACACCGGTAACGCCTGGAGACTCCATCGGAGAAGGTAAGTCGGGCTGTCTCTCACTGACACCCACTCAGGTATAAAAGCTAAACCCTAACTTGGGCTGCCGGAGTGCCACCGGCTTCTGTGCTGCATGGGTAGAAACCCTAGAACAACCGTTGCATGTACAGTATCTGTTAACACAGATCTGTAGAAAACCCTAGGTGTGGTTCAATTGTGCATAAGTGGTCCAATCTGTGCTGAACTTGGCCACTTGGGAACCTTGATTGGCTTATTAAATTGATTTTCTGTGTGTTGTGGTCTTTAATTTGCCATCCTCTCTATGTTATTGCCTCTGAACTTCCTCTGTATTGTTTTAAGCTTGCTCTATTACTATTGCAATTATTATTATTCTGCTCAAGTCAGTCCGGTCTTTGTCTGTTTTTGTTGAGTTCTAGTAATAGTGTGGCTTCTAACCCCTAGCTGGCTAAGGCACCTGAGGTTAGGGCTAAGTGATTCCCTACCAGCCATTTCAGTGGCCCCGGAACTGCGTGGTCTCTTAGTCCGCTGCCCAAACCACTAGGGTTAGCCTTTATATTACCTGTATCTCAGCAGATTAGTGTGTTGACTGTTATCATGGCTTCAAACCAATATGGTATGATGCCTTTTAATGGTAAGACTGACTTTGATATTTGGAAACAGGAAATAAAATGTGTGCTAATTCAACAGAAGGTGTATAGAGTTGTTACTAGACAATACTTAGAAACTGAGGATAAACCTAAACAAGTTGAAATGAATGAAACAGTCTGCTCAACCATTTATTCAAACTTGTCTGACTCTGTCCTTAGAAAGGTTGGAGTCATTGAGTCTGCTAAAGACCTCTAGGACAAACTTGAGTCTCTGTATACTGATACTTCCCTTCCTGGCAAACTGTTTTTGTTGGAAAATTTTTTTAGGTTCAGGCTTGACCTAACAAAAGATATTAATGAAAACCCGGATGCCTTTAATAAGCTAATCCAAAACATTAAGCAGGCTGGGGATAAACATATAGATGACTACACTGCTATAGTTTTACTCAATGCTATACCTGATTCCTATAATGATGTTAAGTCAGCCATTAAGTATGGGAGGGATGACATAACTCTAGATATTGTCATTAATGGCCTGAGAAGTAAAGAACTGGACTTAAAACACTCTAGGAGTCATCATAGGGAATCTGGGGAAGCTTTGTTTGTTAGAGGAAGGTCTAAAAACAGGTCTAGACACTCTAAAAAGGACAATCAAGATAAGAATAGTAGACAACCTGGTAAGAAAAGGTATAAGTCTAAGAAAAGAGTGTGTTATAATTGTGGGAACCCAGGTCATTTCATAAAGGATTGTACCCAACCCAAAAGAAATGAACAGGCCAACTCTGTGACCAATAAGGAAATTAGTGAAGAAGTGTTCATGGTCTGTGATCAGGCTAATTCTGTCCTAAGCAACCTAACTGAACTTGAATGGTTAATGGATTCAGGTTGTACCTACCACATGACTCCTTTTAAAAATCTGATTGCTTCTTATAGTACTTGTGATTCTGGTTATGTGTCCCTAGCTGATAGTAAGAAGTGTAAGGTTCATGGTGTGGGTGACGTAAGTCTTAAGTTTGAAAATGGAACTATTTTCAAATGTTAGACATGTCCCTGAACTTAGGCACAACCTGCTTTCAGTTTCTACTTTTGAAGAATGTGGTCTTGAGGGAAAATGGGGGAATGGGTGTATGAAAATCCTGAAAAACTCTCTGGTTTTGTTTAAAGCCTTAAAACAAAATAACTTGTATGTTGTTCATGCTAAACCATTTTCTGAAAATGCTAATGTTGTACTTAGTGACAAGTCTGTGCTTTGGCACCAAAGCCTAGGTCACATGAGTAACAAAGGATTAAACATTTTACAAACTGGATGTGTATTCTAGGTTTAAAGAATGGAAAATTATGGTCGAAAATCAAACTGGATGTAAGGTTAAAACCCTTAGAACTGACAATGGACTAGAATTATGCAATAAGGATATGGATAGGCTGTGTACTGAGTGTGGGATTAGGAGACACAAAACTGTGCCCTATACTCCCCAACAAATTGGTTTGGCTGAGAGAATGAATAGGACCCTCCTAGACAAGGTTAGGAGTATGTTAGCCACTTCTGGTCTCCCTAAGAAGTTTTGGGGAGAAGCTGTTAACACTGCCACCTACTTAATCAATAGGTCTCCTTCTGTACCCTTAGAGGGTAAATGCCCTGAGTCTGTCTTCTCTAAGAAACCCCTTGACCTGTCAAACTTAAAGGTGTTTGGGTGTGCTGCCTATGTACACCAACAAACTGACAAACTGGATCCTAGGTCCAAAAAGTGTGTTTTCTTAGGTTACCCTGAAGGGGTAAAAGGGTATAGGATCTGGGATAGAAGTCAGAGTGGTTTTAAGGTCATAGTAAGTAGAAATGTTGTGTTCAATGAAGTTGATTTTCCTTGCTTATTGAAAAATGTAACTGACCCAGAACTGAGTTCTGATGGTACCACTCCAAGTGAGGTGGATCCTATACAGATCACTACTGCCCCTCTGATTAATGAGTTTGTTACTCCTGACTTGACCAACACTATGCATGACACCCACTCCACCTCCAGTGAGGTGGAGCAGTCCACTGAATCTGGTAATAGTAATGAAGGCTTGCATGATGTGATTGTTCAATCTGATTTTGCTGATAATGATGAACTTGGTGAAATCCATGTTGAGAATGACAGTTTAGATGATTATCAGTTAGCTAGAGATAGGACTAGAAGAAACATAAAGAAGATTTCTGATAGCATGACTGACTATGCTTTTCACCTCTATGATACTTCTATGTTTGCCTTCTCTATTTTTGACACTCTTGAGTTGAATGAGCCTAAAACCTACCAGGAAGCTCTTGCCTCTAGAGAATCTAAAAATTGGCTAAGTGTTATGCAAAGTGAAATAGATTCTCTTAAGTTGAATAAAACTTGGACCCTAGTTCCTAGGACTCCTAATTGTTCTGTTGTTGAGTGCAAATGGCTTTTCAAAGTTAAAGAAGAACCTAATAACATTAGGTTTAAGGCTAGGTTAGTGGCTAAAGGTTTCACTCAAAAGGAAGGGGTAGACTATGCTGAAATTTTTGCTCCAGTAGTAAAATTTACCACAATTAGGATGATGTTGGCCCTTGTTTCCCATAACAACTGGGAGATGAAGCATATGGATGTTACCACTGCTTTCCTGCATGGTGACCTAGACAAACAGATATACATGACCCAGCCTGAGGGTTTCATAGACCCTAAGAACCCTAGTCATGTTCGTTTACTTAAAAGGCCCTCTATGGCCTGAAACAGTCTCCCAAACAATGGAATATAAAGTTTGACCAGTGTATGTCTTCCCTGAGTTTCAAAAGGTCTGATTCTGATTCTTGCTTGTATTTTAAGAATACTGCTTTTGTACCTGTTTTCTTGTTGATCTATGTTGATGACATGTTTATCATTAGCCCCTCTGTGAATGCTATTAAGACTGTTCAAAAGTGCCTCTGTGAAAACTTTGCTATGAAGGACCTTGGAGATGCTAAGAGAATCCTAGGGATCAATATAATTAGGGATAGGAGTAGATGTACCCTTACCTTGAACCAAACCTCCTATCTAGATAAGGTCCTGAAAAATTTTAACCTTGACTCTGCCCAGCCTGTAAATGTCGCTTTAGCACCTCATTTTGTGCTAAGCAAGGACCAGTCCCCAAGGACTGCTCCTAAGATAGATAGGATGAAGTCTGTACCCTATTCCAGTGCTATAGGGTCAGTCATGTATCTCATGGTAAGCACAAGACCTGATATAGCTTATGTTGTTAGTTGCTTAAGTAGATATATGGCAAACCCTGGTATGTCTCACTGGACTGCCCTTAAATGGCTTCTTAGATACCTTAAGGGTACATCTTCTCATGGTCTTGTGTTTTCTAAAACTAAAACTGGCATTTTACTTACTGGCTATGTTGACTCCAATTATGCAAATGATAGGGACAATAGACAGTCTACTACTTCATATATTTTTACTCTTTGTGGTTCCTGCATAAATTGGAAATCCCAACTACAACCTATTATCGGTCTCAACAATAATATCTTCCGGGTTGTAATAATAATCACTTCAAATGTTATTCCTACCATTAATTCAATGCAGATGAGCAAAAGTTTATTTTTGAGACTATCATGAAAAATGTCAATGACCAAAAAGGTGGAATCTACATCATATATGGGTATGGTGGAACAAGAAAAACCTATATATGGCAAACATTAGCTTCTGCTATTCGTTCAAAACGCCATATTGTTTTAACTGTTGCATCAAGTGGCATTGCGTCTTTATTATTACCAGGTGGAAGAACTGCACACTCAAAATTTGCCAAACCCGTTCCTACACTTGAAAACTCCACTTGCAATATTCATCGAGGAAGTGAGCGTGCAGAGTTGTTGAAACAAACTAGTTTGATAATTTGGGATGAAGCAACAATGGCTCATAGGTATTGTTTCGAAGCATTGGACAAGAGTTTAAAAGATATCATGAACATTGAAGATGATTAAGATTGTCATTTTGGCGGAAAAGTAATTGTCTTTGGAGGAGACTTTAGACAAACTTTACCAGTAATACCAAGAGGAAGTCGTTTAGAAATTGTTAATGCCACCATTAATGCCTCATATTTGTGGGATAATTGTAAGGTCAGACAATCATTTCCATCAATTACAATTTAAAAAAAAACTAATTTATTACATTTAAACCAACATCTTATACACATAAAAAGCACAAGACCTAATTCATAATTACTTATTATTATATTATAATATGTCAGGAACAAATTATATTTAAATGTTGTTTTGTGTTCAGGTATTATGTCTTACAAAAAATATGTGCCTTCAAAGTAGTAAGGATACTACAAATATTAAAGAAATTCAAGACTTTTCAAAGTGGATGTTAGAGGCAGGAGATGGGAAGATATCTGAACCAAATGATGGTTATGCGACTATACAGATTCCAAATGAATTTTTGATAACAGATTATGACGACCCAATTCATGGCATTGTTGAAAGCACGTACCCTAACATACTACAACAATTCAAAAACAAGGAATATCTAAAGAGTAGAGCTATTTTGGCATCAACCTCTGAAATTGTTGATGATATCAACGAGTACATACTTTCCTTACTCCCAGGTATATCATCACATTTTAATTTATTTCTTTACTCCCATATCGATAATTGCATCTAAATTCGTACTTAAAGTTTACACAAATTTTGACGGTAGGCGAATAAAGAGAATATATGAGTTCTGATTCTGTAGACAAATCAGATATTGTTGATGCGGACGCATTTGAGGCGTTAACACCTGAATTCTTACATTCCCTACGAACATCCGGACTCCCTAATCCACAAATAAAGCTCAAAATAGGAACTCCAATCATGTTGCTAAGAAACATAGACCATTCTGAAGGATTGTGCAATGAAACAAGATTAATTATCACAAGATTAGGCAATCATGTTATTGGCGCAAAAACATTGTCTGTTGATAACATGGAGAATGAGATTTACATTCCTCTCATGTGTATGTCTCCTTCCCAATCACCATGGCCTTTCACACTTATTAGGAGACAATTCCCTATTGTTGTTTCATATGCCATGACTATCAACAAATCTCAAGGACAATCTCTGGCAAACGTTGGAGTATATTTGTCAAGACCTGTTTTTAGTCATGGACAATTATATGTCGCTTTATCAAGGGTTCAAAGCAAAAAAGGACTGAAGATCTTGATACATGACAAGGCGAGAAAACCATTAGATACCACCACAAATGTTGTGTTGAAAGAGGTTTTTCCAAACCTCTAACATTTATGCTTTAACTAAAATTTCTAGACTGTTGTCAAGTAAACAAACTACATATTGATTCCTATTTACCTTTTACAGAAATTCTATATACATTCTGCTCTAATTAATTCACATAACTACATCATTTCATCATTTCTTATTACTTACGTTTCATTATATCCAATACATATGCTTTTACTATAATTTTCAGACTGTTGTCAAGTAAACAAACTACATATTGCTTCCTATTTAACTTTTATAAGAACTCTATATACGTTCTTGTTGGGTGTTCACTTCTCTGGCTCAGACCACACTCAAACGATCACACAAAGCACCACATTTAGCACCAATGAAGGTAACCCACTCAGTCAGCCTTAACCTTCTCTACGCACACCGGACAGGGAGAGCAGAGTAGAGGAATGAGATCGCACAGAGGAACACAAGGAGCAGGGTATCAGAAAACCCTAGCTCTCTCTTTCTCTAACCCTCTCTCTCTAAGTCAAACACAATGCATTAAGTCTCACCCGGAAAGACCTTAGAAAGGCCTTATATACTAAGGTACAAAAGTAACCTTAGTAGACGGTTCCAGAGACGGGCGGAGGTGCTAGGCTGGCTGCAGTGATTGGGCCAACCTGGATTGGGCCTGTAAAAGAGGGAGAAGAGCTGCTTTGGCCCATAGGCCAATACCTCCACATTCTCCACCTTATTGGCTTATGGGTGATGCTAAGTAACAAAAATTGAGTACATGGTTCATCATTGCCGGGTCACCAGTGATATCCTCAATGGACATGGACTGGTAAACAGATTGGAGATGCACAAAGACACTCCAGAGTCACAAGGACTCCAAAAAACAAATTGGAGAGTACGTAGACTCCCCGAGTCAAACAATTGACTCAAAAACACACACGCACACTCATCCACAGTCCATATTCACAATTTGTTTACAAGCTAGAAGCTTGTCTGTTGAAAGACACTTTGTGCCCATATCTGCTGGATTCTGCTCTGACGGAATCTTGGACAGCTTTATCTTACCTGCATCAACAACATCACGAATAAAATGGAATCTAACGTCTATGTGTTTAGTCCTATCATGGAACATAGGATTCTTGCACAACTGTACGGCAGATTGGCTGTCTCAGAAAATGGTGACCTCATGTTTGAGGTAGCCAATTTCAGAGACGAGGCGTTTAAGCCATATAGCTTCCTTGAAGGCTTCCGTTGCTGTAACATATTCAGCCTCTGTAGTGGAGAGAGCAACAATGGGTTGCAACTGTGACTTCCAACTCACACAAGAGCCACAAAAAGTGAAGATATAGGATGTGGTAGACTTTCGGTTATCCCTTTCATTAACATAGTTAGAATCTACATAACCACACAATTTTACACCATCAGAATGTTTTCCAAAAACCAATCCATGAGCAGCAGAAGCATTAAGATACCTTAACAACCATTTTAAAGCATTCCAGTGCACATCACCAGGATTAGACATATATCTACTTAAGCAACTAACAGCATAAGAAATATCAGGTCTAGAGCTAACCATCAAGTACCTCACAGAACCAATGGCATTAGAGTAAGGTACAGACTTCATCTTCTCAATTTCAGGAGCAGTCTTTGGGGACTGTTCCTTACTTAACACAAAGTGAGATGCAAGAGGAACATTCACAGGGGTGGCATTGAGCATATTAAATTTACTCACAACTTTTTCAACATATGAAATCTGATTTAAAACAAGTGTGGAAGCAGATCTATTTCTAACAATATTAATACCAAGGATCCTTTTGGCATCACCAAGGTCCTTCATAGCAAAGTTTTCACATAAACATTTTTGCACAGAAGTAACATACTTAAGGCATGGACTAATAATGAGCATATCATCCACATAGATCAACAAATAAACAGGTACAGAAGACACATTCTTCAAGTATAAGCAGTGATCACAACTAGACTTAGCAAATTTTATGGATTTCATACACTGATCAAACCTAATGTTCCACTGTCTAGGGGATTGCTTCAGGCCATACAAGGCCTTTCTAAGCAGACAAACATGGTTGCTCTTTTTGGAATCCACAAAGCCCTCAGGCTGGGTTTTGTAGATTTTCTTATCTAAATCACCATGCAGAAAAGCAGTGGTGACATCCATCTGCTTCATTTCCCAGTTATAGTAAGCAACAAGAGCAAGCATAATGCGGGCAATAGTAAACTTAACCACATGAGCAAAGATTTCAGCATAATCTACCCCCTCTTTTTAGGTAAAACCCTTTGCCACTAGTCTAGCCTTAAACCTAACAGAGTCAGACTCTTGTTTGACTTTGTAGAGCCACTTGCACTCAACCACAGAGCAGTTAGGGGGTCTGGGAACTAGGGTCCAGGTCTGGTTCACATGCAAGGAGTCCATCTCACTTTGCATAGCCTTAATCCACTGTTGGGACTCCTTAGAGTCTAGGGCTTCCCTATAGGTCTTGGGTTCATCAAGTTCTAGGGATTCAAAATCAGTAAAAGCAAACTCAGAGACATCACTCACACCAAAAGCATAGTCAGACATCACTCACACCAAAACCAGGGACACTTCTATCCCTAGCAAGTTAGTAGTCATGCAAGTTATCATGATGTTGGGAATATTTTATGGTGTTCAATCTAGTTAGTTATCTTTGTATTTGTGTAGTTATTAATTAAACGTGTAATCCGGGCCACAAATGTGTATCAGCCCGTGGGCTTCCTTGTAACCCGTAAGTTAGCCAACTTCTCCTATAAAAGGAGGCTAACTTACGGGAACCTAACTGATTGTGAGAGGCTGAGACGCAGAGGCGTAGAGATAGAGAGAAATTAGGTTGCCGCTGCTCTCCTTCTCCAGGGAGAGTAGCAGCAGGTTCATACGGTATATCAGATTCGCGTTTCAATCTTGTCGATTTCTTTCTATCTGCTTCTTTATCACTGTTATGGTTGTATGAATGTTAGAATTCTGGGACTAACATTTGGTATCAGAGCCGATCGAGAACGATCAGAAGAATTTCTGCAGAATACTCTGTTTTTGATAACGTAGTTCATTCTGTCGATTTTTTGCTCTGTAATTTTGTTTCTTGTTCAAAAGTTGTAAAAGTTACACCTTTGGAATCGCCTTTTCAAAGCGATCAAAGGGTATACTTCAGTTTGTGTTTTACGCAATTTTTGATTTCGAGATATCTCGAGCTAGGCATCTCGACATCCTACTTCTTCACAGGTTCTGCTACGTTTTTCGAGCTGAAAACTTTACCAGAAGATCTCGACATTCAACTCTACAGGAAACTATCTTCAGATTTTGATTATCTGATTTTTACAGGTTGAAGGATTTCGACATTGAGGATTTCGACATCTAGGATTTCGAAATCTTGATTTCGAGAAAAGGATTCGACATCTGGTCTCGACATTTGACTCATCAGATTAAGATTTCGAGAGATTAACTTCTCGACATTTCAAATCTCGAGATCAGCATCTCGAAATTTGAAATCTCGAGATCCCTAATCTCGAGATCCTTAATCTCGAGCCCAAATCTCGATACCGGGCCTCCTTTATCGAAATCTGAGATTTCGATATTCAGATCTCGACATCTGATTTTTCGAGATGCTGCCTCTGAAAATCTTTTGATCAATTTTCTCGAACGGTCAGTTTAGTACAGCAATGGGTTCAGAATACAATGCACAAGGGAACAGCAGTACCCCTCCTAGCCTCAGGAAGGGAGAATATCAAATGTGGAGGAATAGATTTCTAAACTTCCTCGAGCACAAAGAGAACTCTTCCGCAATGCTCGAATCTTTGCTTGAAGGACCAGCTGAACTCTTGATTTCAGTTGGTGGAGATCCAGAGAACAATCCTCCTATTTTTCCAGAAATAAGGAGAAAAGTGCCGTCTGAATACACAGAAGCCGACAAACTCAGACTTCGTGGTGATCTTATGGCCAAAACGTACCTCCTTCAAGCAATACAGAATGAGGTTTATGTTCTCATAGATAGCATGCAGACAGCTAAGGAAATGTGGGATGAAATTGAGAAGCCGCTACAAGGCACAAGCATCAACCTCAAAACAAAGAAGACTACGATTCTCATCGCTTATGACTCCTTCAAAGCAGGTCCAGGAGAACCATTGAATGAGACTTACAACAGACTTGTTCAATTGGTAAATGAACTTAGAAAGATCAAAGTATTCAGGTCTAATCTGGAACTGAATATTAGATTTTTATCCAGCTTGCATCCTGCATGGGAAAAGACAGTGAAGGATGTCAGATCTCGGATAGATTTGGACAAAATCGACCTCTGCACACTCTATGAACATCTGAAGCAATTCGTCAACGAGGTTGCCTGTGCTGAGGATCATCACACCACAAACCCCTTAGCTCTTGTAATGGATGCTCAGCCAAGAAGGACAACCACTTCACTAAAGAAGAAAAAGAAGAAAGTGGTGGTTGAATCAGATGATGATGAGAGTGACGATGACAAATCTGACCTAGAGGCTGAGCTAGCAGACTTACAGAAGAAGATGGCACTGCTGGCCAAAAGATTTGCTAAGAAGAACACCTCCTCCAACAGGCTGAGAACTTCCTCCTCAAACTACAAGCAGAAGAACCACGATCAAGGATCTTCTAGGAAGGCATCATCAGCAGAAGAAGCTCCTAAATGTTATAATTGCGGCAAGCCTGGATATGTGATCAAAGACTGCCGCCTCCCAAAGAAGAAAGATGCTAACTTCTACAAGCAGAAGATGTTGTGGAATAAGCAGAAAATGCTGATGGTGCAGAAAGAAGAAACCTCTGCCATGATTGCTGAAAATGAGAATTGGGCAGAAGATTCTTCTGAGGAGGAGGAAGAGGAAGACAACTATGCTCTTATGGCAAGTGTGGAGGGAGATGAAGTAAAGGGTGATGCTGCGATCTCCGAAAGCAAGTGCTCAACAAGCTCTGTAAGTACCTCCCATACTTCTTTAAATAGTCAAATGCAGTCCTTACTTGAAAAGGACAATCTAATCAAAGAACTAAAGGAGAGACTAGACAATAATCATAGAGTCCTGAAATAGAATCTAGACCAAAAGTCTTCCTTAAGTATTCAACTTGAAATTGCAAAAGATCAAGTCAAAAAGGTGTCCTCAGATTTTGAAAGCTTTGAACTTAAGATAGCTGAATTAACTAAGAAATTTGAGGACAGTGAACGGGAAAAAAGCACAGCAAAGGCTGAATGCGATTTTTTGCATAACAAAAGAAGAACGCTTTTAAATAAAGTAAAAGAACTAGAAGATCTAGCTGCTAGAAGAGGTCAATCTGAACAAACTGTTTTTTTGCTTAACAACAAACAAAAGGATGACCGATTCTACAATGCTAAAACAGGTCTGGGCATAACCAACCCACGTAATCTTAAGAAAGTTAATTGCCTTCAATTCTATAACAAAGATTACATGGGACTAGGGTTTGGTGAGAAAATGTATTTTCGAAGTGATGAAGATTATGCTGAAGCAGAAGAAGAAAAGAGAAAGAAACCAAAACCTGCGATTTCTTGTGATTATCCCTCTGTAAATGAAAAACAACTTTCAGAAGAAAAACCTACTTCCTGCTTTAGTCAATGCCTAGACCCTTATGCTAAAGATATTCCTCACATAGGACACCCTCTAGACCCTCCCCCAAGAGTTGGTATTGCTAAAACTGGTGAGGAACCATGTATTTTTCCAATGGCTCAAAAGCTCAAAAACCTACAAAAAACTCTTGATAACGAGAGAGAGAGAGATTTGAAACTGAAAAGAAAGGTTTTGAGCGCAACTAGCAGGAACTTCTTCAAAAATTTAATGATTTGAGTGAGCAGTTTCATGCTAAAACAGACCCTTCTACGACCAAGCCTGACAGCTCACACACCTCACATGAGAAAAACAATGCTTTTAAAGGTTCATCCACTCATCTCTCTTCTCCTTTGTTTACAGGGAATGAAGTGAATAAGGAAGGAGAAGAGAAGAATGAGTGGAGGAAAAAGAGGAAGGAAATCGCAGAGGGCAAAAAGAAAATTTTTGAGAAAAATGCCAGCCCTAGATCTAGTTCAATATTTTACTCAAAAGTTAATTGTAATTCTGTCTCTACAAAGCAAACTTCTAGCAGTTCAGTCTTGAGTCCCAAGCTGAATATTTCTGAGACATCTTCTAGACAAAGTTTTATTTATAATACAAGTGTTGCTTATGGTTATTCTGTTCCAGACCCCCATAATTATGAATGTGATATGAATGTTGTTAAATCTAAGCCTTCCAGAAAGCTTAAACCTGAAAAAGAAACCAAGAAAGGAACTTCTAAGGGAACGTTTTGTATTCCAGATATGAAATATGCCCTTAGAGTTCATTCTAGGAAACATGTTAATCGGCTTTCTAAGGAGGAGATTTTCAAAACCAAACTCAAGAAACAACCGTTCAATCACAAAGCACCTGTCTACTCTCCTCCTGAACCTAAAACGAAAAGATGGGTCCCCAAGATAAGACCCGTCAAAACTGAAACGGAACGGTGGGTCCCCAAGATGAGACCTACCAAAACTGAATCGAATAGGTGGGTCCCCAAACGAAGACCCATCCAAACTAAAACTGAAAGGTGGGTTCCCAATCGTAGACCCATCATAACTGAAACTGAAAGGTGGGGTCCCAATCGAAGACCCATCATAACTTCAACTGAAAGGTGGGTCCCCAAACTTAGACCCACAAGGACTAAAATGGAAAGGTGGGTTCACAACATCAGACCCACCAAAATGGAAAGTGCTAGGTGGTCTCCAAAAACCAGACACACTGCAAAAGCAGATCTGGCTATTGGAAAGCCCATCAAAGATAGATCTTTTGTTGAAAGAGCAGCTGACCTTGGATCACTGCTCAAAGCAAGATTTAAAAAGGTGTTTCTTGATAATAAGGAAGGACCCACTCCAAGTTTGGTACCTAAACCTTTTTGATTGTTTTGCAGAACGGTCATGTGTGGCACTTAGACTCAGGATGCTCAACCCACATGACCGGAATAAAGCACCTTTTGAGCAACTACACCAACTGCTACGGAGGCAATGTCAGATTCGGGAATGACGCCTCATCTCCTATCCTTGGGTATGGGGACGTCGTCTGTGCCAGTGTCACAATAAAAGATGTTTCATGTAACACTTCAAAAAAAAAAATATAAAAAACAAAATAAAATTTATTAATGAGATAAAATGTTACAATAGTGAGATTTTAATAATTAAGTGAACCAGATAAAACTTTAACAATTACGACCTTTTTAGTCAAATAAAAACGTCTCAATAAAAAGAATAACATTTTTATTACAAAAGTGACATAATAATATGCCTTTAAAATAATACTACGTAGTGCGTTTTCTTTTCTAACAACTTGAAATCTAAATTTAAAGTGAACTATTCAAACTACCATTAAATAAGTAATGGTTGACCTTCCATATATACCTATCTACGTTTTACCATGCATATGAACTGCGCACTAGCCCACATGTGCGTAACGTATGCTAATAATATTAGTAATAATTATATACGGCCATGAGTTAGAAGGAAACCGGTTTATTGATATGAATGACCGATGATTCTTAACATTTTAACGAACGTCTACCATCAACGAACTGCATAAATAGCAGCGTTGTGGACGATTTACCCTACACCAAAACCAGCGGCCAACGACCGGCGGGAAAAAAAAAATATTAAGTGAGAATAAGAAAGAAGAGAATAGAAAGAATAGGCAGTAAGTGAGACAAAGGAGAGAACGAGACGGAGAAACGGGCACTGCCGGAAGGGAAGGAGATTGCTGGAGTTAGCCGGACTGCCTTGCACACGCCGGAGATATAGGAGGAGCTGCAGCTGCGGCATCACCGTACGGGCTGCTGTTGAAGATCGCCGAGATACTCCCCTACGACCACCATTCCAATCGTCCGTCGTCGCTTAGGTAAGCCTTCCCTCTGAAGTTCTCGTTTTCCAGCGTACATGTTGAACAAAACGACGACTTCGCTGCTATATTACTGCTGTTGTTTTATTAATAAGTTGGGCCGAAACTTTGAGTAAAAAGAAATCAACACCTAACAAGGTTTATAACATTAAGTAATAATAATAATAATAATAATAATAATAATAATAATAATCTATAAATAATAATAAAATCTGGATCTGGATGTTACTAGTTGATGTCGGGCTGAGGGATTTACATACATCACTTTGGATGAATTCTTTTTGTTTCAACTTATTAGTTGAATTAATTATGTAATAATTCTTGGACTTAATAAATGGGCTATACTAAAATATACATAGTACGATTAAGAAGATGCATTTTGAATATTTTTTTTCACTAGGATGCAATTGCGGTGATTTGAGTATACTAATAGACTAAATTAAAATTGAAAGTATGTTTAGTAAATTGGTTACGAATTAAATAAAAATGAGTTATACGTATGACTGAATGAATTGGGGTTAGATTAAATGAAATAAAGTAAAATCATAATGTAGTTCGTATAGTTTAATATAATACTAAAATATCAGTAAAGAAATTTGAATGTTTAAACTATAATTATGATTGTTTACCAGATTTAAGGTATGATATTTTACGGTTTGGATTTTTATACATAATTCGAATTTATACCGATTTAGTGAAGTAAATTAGATAGTTTTATTGGCGATTAATTGAAGTTAAAGTAATTTCAAAATAAGAATATATTAATAACTTTGTAATTCGAGTATTTTAAAGGTAAGCCGAAGTAAGAAATCGTGTGCAGGTGGAAAATACCGTAGTACCTTTAATGAGAAGAATAATTAAAATTGGATGGACTTTAGCTGCACTAATAACTTAAGTGATTAAAATAGATCAATAGGGAATTCCGATATTTTAGTAATGGATTGAATTTTTATACCCAATTAAATTACTTATTGATAAATTAAGTATTGTTAATTAATACTTATTGTTTTGATATGAGTATTGATAATTAATTCATAACATATGACCGAAGTAAAAATAGTAATCAAGGTAAAGGACTAACGAAAGTGACAAACAGATGAATAAATTAATTAATGGAACATTTAGATAAATTCATCGGGGTAATTATTAAAAATAGAATTGATGGCTAATTATATACCATCTTAATTAAAAAGGTGAACATTTAGAGACCGGAGTAGATGAAGAGAATTAGGAGCACCCGGACTAGAGGTAAGTTTCTCTGCCAATCTAAAATTGTTTCCTCGTATTATATGCTTATTATGCATTATGTGAATAAGTGTGAATTGTTGAATTTTGTGTATGTGATTTTTGAAGAGATATTATATATATGGTAGTTGAGAAATATAAATTAAGTACTTTTGGGGTATTTAATATTTTTAAATACCTTCAAGACTTTTTAGAGAAATTGAGAAGTATTTTTGAAGTATTATTTATTGAAGATAAAATTTACATTTTTATAAGAGGTGAGCATCACGGGAGAAATCCGTGGTGTCGGTTTTCCACGTCCGGATAAATGTGGAGGGTGATTAGGTCTGCTACTACTAAGAAGTACAGTTTGAGTTTAAAGTGATATTTGGATCGATGATCCCTTTTAAGAAGAAGTTATGGTAGTAGTAGTCCCTAGTCATTCAAAATATCTTATTCAGGGGTAGTTGGTAGACTGAGTCCCGACTACTCGTTACGACTTACTACTCGGGGGGCTTGGAATCCCTTTTAGGGGGTGTGCACATTTAAGGTAGTCGTTTCGTTTCCAACAGAGCAGTTGTGGTACCGGCACTTGTTCGGGGTGGCCGTCCATAACCACGGTCCACCGGACTCTACCGAAAGGTTGAGCACCGCCCTTCTAAATTACTAGGAAGTTAGAGAAGAAGTGATTTTGAGGAAATCAAAGAGAAGAGTTATTATGAAGTTTTATAGAGAAGTTGAGGATTGTTGTAAAGAAGTAGTCTTGATAAAAATCAAAGTGAAAAGAATTTCGATGGTGTGAGTATTTTTATATATTATTATATAAAAATTCTATTTTTGTCAAACATGATTATTTTACGGGGTTGGGTAGTACTTACTTAGCTCTAAAGCTAATTTTTGTTTTCTTTTCCTTGTTTCGTTTCTGCACTTTATTTGTGCAGGTGAGGATGATTTTGTCGATTGATGATTGCTTGCATGGCCCGAGAGCGAATTAGAAGTCGCCTTAGTTATACTAGTCATGAAATAAACATTTACTTTACAAAAACTTTATTTTTATTAAATTAGTTGTTATGTTTTAGTTGCCTGTGCATCCGGTTGAGAGATGACCGGATGTGGCGGTAACACCCATTTCCCTTATTAAGACTTCCGCTGTACTTTCTTTAAATTTTCATTATCAATAAATAAAAGTTTTATTTCAATTATATCAACGTTTTGGGTGGGAAATTTGGGGGTGTTACATTTCATTCGTCAAAGGGCTCAAACACAACTTACTGAGCATTGGACAATTCTGTGACAGCGGGATGGAAGTGAGGTTCTTTGCAAAACAATGCTGTGTTCTTGACAGCACAAGGAATACATTATTAACGTGTTACAGAACATCAAATCTGTACACTATTGATCTGAAAAGCGTCCAATCCACCACTTCCATCTGTCTGCTGTCCAAAGCTTCAACTGAACAGAACAACCTATGGCACAGACGTCTCTCCCATATGAACTTCAAACATCTATCAACCTTGTCCTCCAAGAAACTTGTGAAGGGACTTCCTCTGCTAAAGTCTTCCGCTGAAAATCATTGTAGTGCCTGCAAAATGGGCAAAATGACGCGAAGCTCCCACAAGTCAAAAACCGAACCTTCATCTACTCATCAGTTGCAGCTAATACACATGGATCTGTGTGGACCTATGAGAGTACAAAGCATCAATGGTCGCAAATACACTCTGGTGATCGTTGATGACTTCTCTAGGTATACATGGACAAAATTTCTCCGTTCAAAAGATGAAGCTGCGGAAATCATTATGACCTTTATCAGAACGATCCAGAAACTGCTACAGCACAGTGTTCGAATTGTCAGAACTGACAATGGTACCGAGTTCAAAAATCAGACTCTCACTGAGTTCTATGAATCACTCGGTATCACTCAGCAATTTGCAGCAGCTAAAACTCCCCAGCAGAACGGAGTTGTTGAGAGAAAGAACAGAACCCTTGTTGAAGCAGCACGCACCATGTTAATTCAATCAAGACTGCCTCACTTCATGTGGGCAGAGGCAATCAATACTGCGTGCTTCACTCAGAACAGAACCTTCATCCACAAGCGCTTCGACAAGACTCCATATGAGATCCTATTCAACAAAACTCCTGATATATCTTTTCTCAAGGTTTTTGGCTGTAAGTGCTTCATACTCAATGATCGGACATAGAGAAGTAAGCTGGATCCCAAAGCCAGAGAAGGCGTGTTCATTGGCTACTCACTGCAATCCAAAGCTTACCGAGTCTATCTCAGAGACAAGAGGACTGTCATCGAGAGTGTAAACGTTACATTCTATGAAATGGCAGACTTTGCTATTGAACATCTCCAGACCGATCCATCCACTGCTGTACCAGTAGCTTCTGATAAAGCTGAACCAAACACCGAACACGACGATGTGATTCTCGACTCTCTCTTCAGAAACTTTTACGAGAACTCACAATCTCCACCTCTTGCATGCACTCCAGAGTCAACATCAACTCCAACAGCAGAGATTCCACTCCTCACAGGAACAGATGACGAACCATCCACACCCTCAACCCCTCCAACCAATCCCAGAGGTGTGGATGATCACGGTTTTGCCATAAGTCCGGAATCATCTCCACTACACACCACAGCTGCCCCAGAGCCTTCAAATTCATATCAGGACTCAGATCAACCAATAATTACTCCAACTCCTCTAGCTCATGAGAGGAAGTGGACAAGAGCACATCCTGTTGAACAGATAATAGGTGATCCATGTCAAGGTGTGCGAACAAGATCAGCAACAACAAATGAATGTCACTATGCATGCTTTCTAAGCAAGAATGAACCGTCCAAAGTCTCAGAGGCACTCGCCGATCCAGATTGGGTGATTGCCATGCAAGATGAGCTCAATCAATTTGACAGACTAGATGTATGGACACTCGTGCCTAAACCCCCTCAGAAAACCATCATTGGCACAAAATGGGTGTTCAAGAACAAGAAGGACGAAGAAGGCATAGTGATACGGAACAAGGCACGACTGGTCGCTAAAGGATATAATCAGCAAGAGGGCATAGACTATGATGAAACATTTGCACCCGTAGCAAGAATTGAAGCAATCCGCCTTTTTCTTGCGTACGCAGCCCACAAGAACTTTACTGTCTTTCAAATGGACGTCAAGTTTGCCTTTCTGAATGGAGTCTTGGAAGAAGAAGTCTCTGTCGCTCAGCCCGAAGGATTCATAGATCCCAGATATCCCGACCATGTGTACAAGCTGAAGAAAGCTCTGTATGGGTTAAAACAGGCACCAAGAGCTTGGTATGATGCATTAACCGAATTTCTGGTTGATTCAGGTTTCTCAAAAGGGAAGATTGATACCACACTTTTCATCAAGCGACAGAAGTCTGACATCATCCTGATTCAGATCTATGTTGATGACATTATCTTCGCTTCCTCTAATCCACGTCTGTGCAAACACTTTGAGAAACTGATGAAAACCAAGTTTGAGATGAGCATGATGGGAGAACTGAATTTCTTCCTAGGCCTGCAAGTAAGACAACTCTCTGACGGCATTTTCATCAATCAGTCAAAGTACATTCTGGAAATGCTTAAGAGATTCAACATTGATGGCAAATCTTCCATGACGACCCCCATGTCCCCAAACAACAAACTGGACTCATACCCCTCTGGGAAGCCAGTTGATGCTACAAACTACAGGGCCATCATTGGATCTTTGCTATATCTCACATCAAGCAGACCTGACATTGTTTTCTCCACATGCTTATGTGCACGCTTTCAGGCAAATCCGAAGGAATCCCATCTGACCGTTGTTCGAAGAATTCTGAGATACCTCAAAGGCACTGTGAATCTAGGCCTTTGGTATCCCAAGCACTCAGGTTTTGACCTAGTCGGATACTCGGATGCTGACTTTGCTGGTTGCCGGATGGACCGCAAAAGCACATCGGGGGCAGTCCAATTCATGGGCGATAAGTTAGTCTGCTGGTCTTCCAAGAAACAGAACTGTGTGTCAACATCTACGGCCGAGGCAGAATACGTCGCGGCTGCTAGCTGTTGTTCACAAATATTATGGATGAAGACCCAGCTAAAGGACTACGGTTACACTCTTCACCATATCCCGATCTACAGTGACTCTCAAAGCGCCATAGCCATCACCAGCAACCCGGTTCATCACTCCCGCACCAAACACATCTAGGATTTCGAAATCTTGATTTCGAGAAAAGGATTCGACATCTGGTCTCGACATTTGACTCATCAGATTAAGATTTAGAGAGATTAACTTCTCGACATTTCAAATCTCGAGATCAGCATCTCGAAATTTGAAATCTCGAGATCCTTAATCTCGAGCCCAAATCTCGATACCGGGCCTCCTTTATCGAAATCTGAGATTTCGATATTCAGATCTCGACATCTGATTTTTCGAGATTCTGCCTCTGAAAATCTTTTGATCAATTTTCTCGAACGGTCAGTTTAGTACAGCAATGGGTTCAGAATACAATGCACAAGGGAACAGCAGTACCCCTCCTAGCCTCAGGAAGGGAGAATATCAAATGTGGAGGAACAGATTTCTAAACTTCCTCGAGCACAAAGAGAACTCTTCCGCAATGCTCGAATCTTTGCTTGAAGGACCAGCTGAACTCTTGATTTCAGTTGGTGGAGATCCAGAGAACAATCCTCCTATTTTTACAGAAATAAGGAGAAAAGTGCCGTCTGAATACACAGAAGCCGACAAACTCAGACTTCGTGGTGATCTTATGGCCAAAACGTACCTCCTTCAAGCAATACAGAATGAGGTTTATGTTCTCATAGATAGCATGCAGACAGCTAAGGAAATGTGGGATGAAATTGAGAAGCTGCTACAAGGCACAAGCATCAACCTCAAAACAAAGAAGACTACGATTCTCATCGCTTATGACTCCTTCAAAGCAGGTCCAGGAGAACCATTGAATGAGACTTACAACAGACTTGTTCAATTGGTAAATGAACTTAGAAAGATCAAAGTATTCAGGTCTAATCTGGAACTGAATATTAGATTTTTATCCAGCTTGCATCCTGCATGGGAAAAGACAGTGAAGGATGTCAGATCTCGGATAGATTTGGACAAAATTGACCTCTGCACACTCTATGAACATCTGAAGCAATTCGTCAACGAGGTTGCCTGTGCTGAGGATCATCACACCACAAACCCCTTAGCTCTTGTAATGGATGCTCAGCCAAGAAGGACAACCACTTCACTAAAGAAGAAAAAGAAGAAAGTGGTGGTTGAATCAGATGATGATGAGAGTGACGATGACAAATCTGACCTAGAGGCTGAGCTAGCAGACTTACAGAAGAAGATGGCACTGCTGGCCAAAAGATTTGCTAAGAAGAACACCTCCTCCAACAGGCTGAGAACTTCCTCCTCAAACTACAAGCAGAAGAACCACGATCAAGGATCTTCTAGGAAGGCATCATCAGCAGAAGAAGCTCCTAAATGTTATAATTGCGGCAAGCCTGGACATGTGATCAAAGACTGCCGCCTCCCAAAGAAGAAAGATGCTAACTTCTACAAGCAGAAGATGTTGTGGAATAAGCAGAAAATGCTGATGGTGCAGAAAGAAGAAGAAACCTCTGCCATGATTGCTGAAAATGAGAATTGGGCAGAAGATTCTTCTGAGGAGGAGGAAGAGGAAGACAACTATGCTCTTATGGCAAGTGTGGAGGGAGATGAAGTAAAGGGTGATGCTGCGATCTCCGAAAGCAAGTGCTCAACAAGCTCTGTAAGTACCTCCAGTACAGGGGCTGCGATAACTATTGCCAAAGCTACTGCGCAAACTGCTGCGGAAATTGCTGCAGGGGTCTTCCCTTCACTTTGTTCGTCTGGGACCTTGTCTGGGCAGAATACTCCGTTGCAGACTGGAATCAGGCAGGAAGACTTCCCAGCACTGCAAAGTGCAAATTTGATGGAAAATGGAGACAAACTTACTGCTGCTAAAACCAAAGCTAATGGGAAATCTCCTGTGAACCACCTGCAGTTGGGAAATCCTAATCCTACTGCTAGTAAAGCTGACAAAGCAAATGAAGCAGAAAATGCAACTCCGGTGATTCCAAATGAGACGGCAGACAGAATTGGGAGAGAGGCTAATGTTGCAAAAAGCGTTGAGAAAGACACTGCTTCCAGTAACCCTGTTGCTGTGCAGTTGGAACC